GGGGGGGGCAGGGCAGGGCACAGTTTGTCAATTTGTTGGTTTTTTAAAATGAGTAAAGTGTGGATACCTAATAAGCAGAGTAGAGCCAATTGGGCACTATTTGACACTAGCATTACAAGTTTTTTATTCAGTGCCCAAGCAAAAGAATTCTCCAGTTCAGTGTTGAAGGATGAAGCAACTTTGCAACAGCCTTTGTGTCAAATTTTTACGCCTGATGACATCCAGCACTTCATAGCCTCCAGCCCTCACTTTGCTTTTCCAGAGCTGACTTTATTGAAAAGGGAAAAATACCGAATGGAGTCACTTATCAATACATCTTGAGTATTTCCTTCTTTACAAGCACCTACACACATTACTACAGAAATAACTTAAAACATTTAACTCAAGTCTCTTAAACTAGAGCACAATAGAACAAGACCACCAACAGCAATCTCGAAAAAGGTCGCATCTTGCACATTAAGATCTCTCTTTGTTCCCCTAAAGGGGTGAGAAATCAATAGGGCTTAAAAAAAAAACCAACAAAACAAACAAACCAAAACCAAACGAAAAACAACAAACCTTTGACATGACTAAAGAGTAAGGGAATACATAAATACAAGAAAAACATTCCACAAGTAAGGTTTATCTATTTTGTTAGACTTCTCAGGATTACAATTGGTTTGACCGCTAAAATTCCCTACCCAGTCAATACTCTGCAAAAATGAGGTATGTCAGTGAAGCATACTCATCTACTCTTTTGACTAGAAGGCGAGTGTATGAAAAAGTTACCTTAAAAATCTCTTTCAGAATTTCAAGAAATAAAGGAATATTTAAAATGGATATTCTGAATTTCAACAGCAAAAACAAAAGAGAGAAGAAAGCTCATGGACTTTGAGGGTAGGGAGAAAACCCTGTATTATTAGATTTAAGTTTTCAACCAGGCTCAGGGAGAACAAAAAGGCATAGTTAAATTCATTAAACTCTTCAAAAAAAAAAAAAAAGCTCTTTTAACACAAATAGTGTAGGCATGCACACAATATAAAACTTAAGTTTTTATAAGAACCTAAATTTTTCTTTAAAAAAACCCCTCAAACATATCCCATTTTTTCCTTAAAACACATCTCTCAAACTTCCTGATACCAAATTAAATCCTCAGACGATTTGCTTAAATACATATATAAAATCCTTTTCACAGCAAGAAAAATACTTACATCATCCCAGGTCCAGCATTTTTCGTTAGCAGTAATGCCAGTCTCTCGGTAGTACTCTTCCAGTGGCGGTTCCAGAAGAATCACATCGAATTTGGACTTCAATTCCCTAATATCAAAAGCTTCCAGGTCTGCTTGTAAGTACCTGTTTAAACAAAAGGCAATGGGATTGTTTGGACAAGTTACAATGGTGGTTTGAAAATTATACTCTACTGAGCACTTCTGTGTAGCCAGTTAAGAGTAGTGTCTCCTGTGTAGTTCATATAGATCAAACACCCTAAATCCAGAGGAGATCCATAACACACTGTCACTTAACCTAGGCTGGATGCTGTTGCATTAGCTTTTTTAAAAAGTAGTCTTTCTCTCAATAGTTTTTAGTATTGTAATTTAGCAAGCAGGAAACATATGCCCATACAGACCGTACACAGTATCTAGTACAGAATCACGCAACCTTCTGTACATCCATGGACTATCTAGGAGAAAACAACATTTAAGTAGCAAACACTCACTGTCTGACTAACAGACTTCTACTTTGCTTCGCTATGAGGAAGGGGCATATTTTTAGAATTGCCATTTATTATATGTTATGTTCAGAAGATTCTGAATACTGGAAATGTGGTTACTTTTCATATAGTGGAAATGTATTTATCTATCCCTATAATAAAAGCATGATTCCCATACACATTGATTTTATTAAATACACACTCAAATGCACTCATGACTGGCCTCCACACCTGCCCACCCCTCACTGCCGTATCACTGTCCTAAAAAGTATACTGCCCTTCCCTCAATACCTTCAACAAGCTGATAAGCGGACCACCACCTCCCCCTTCCTAAGAAAGTGTCTGGAAGAGATTATTATAAGTGTATTTGGTGCTATCAGAAGGCAGCATGTGATTACTATTTTTTCCCCTTTTGTGCCTTAAGGCTAAGAATGCCAAAATGCATCTAGCTTCAAAACAGCAAGTTGAGTTTTGTAGTTTGCATCTCAGCTGTTCAGACAACTATTTCAAGAGCTTTTTCATGTGACTATCATGAAATAGTGCTATTTTACTCAGTACAGATTAGGACTACAGTATATTAAAAGCATTAGGTTCACGTTCAGATAGGTTCAAATTCCTGGGAGTAACATGCCGTGTGCTTATACTGTGTCTAACGTTCAGGAAAAACTCAAGAGGTAATTCAAGTTAATCAGACGGATCACTTCTAGACGCCTAAACTTTTTTTGGTCTTAAACTACAAAGGAGCATCTGACTAATGATACTAAGATAATAGCTGAACATTCTACAAAAAAAAGCTGTTGCAAGAACAGCTAAGGTTATATTAAGAGGCCAATTTTTTAAAGCTTTTCTTGTTATTGTAAACTGCATGACAGTATGAGATTCATGATCCTATGACGTTCTTTTAGATCCCAAATTAAAGCCTGCAGACCAATCAGTTGACAGTTTGGTCTTAAAAAACAAAGCTTTAGATAAATAATCACACACTGGAAAGAAGATCTAGTTTATATATTATATTAAACATCTAGATTACACTAACAAAACCAAACTGATTTTATTCTTCTGAAGTTTCAATGGATTAATTTGTATATACAAACAGTAATAGAAAATGTAAATTCTGAGCAGGTGCTAGAGAGAGAGATTTGCAAAGCAGACAGCTAACTTCAAACAGGTCTGGAGAAGAAAGGCATTTTCCACAGGAACACTTACATGGGAGGAGTGTTAGATTTAGATATCAGCTCATCCTTCAATCTGATGAGCTCTCTAAGTTTTGGATATTCTTCAAACCTATCTGCTAAGCCTAAGAAGAAGAAAACATGAAGTTAACAACTACTTAGAGAGTAAATCTGTATCAATTAAGCATTGTCCAGTACTCTGAATAAGTCCAATAACTAGCCTCATTTTAATTTGTTAGAACAAACCAAACCCTTCAAAGCAGTTTTTTGTTCAGTACTTCGTAAAAGCCTCTTGCCTTCACCCAGTCATAGTTGTTACTGAATGTAGTGTCTGTGCTCTCATCCACCCAAGAGCACTACAGGGATCAGGAGTTCACAACTCCTTTATCAGAAGGAGACAATCTTTCATTTAAAATAAAAGTGTCTGAATGACAAAAGTTATTTTGTTACCTCCCCCATCCATAAATTCATATTAAGTTCTAACTAACACTCTTTTACAGAATACTCTTATTTAACCTTTAAAGACTATTTCTGGGGTGTGGCTGGTTCCCTTAGGCAACGCTGCATTTAGTACTCTGAAGTCAGCCATGAAGATCTGAATACAAGTATATTTATTTATTGGGTTCCTAGACTTAGCTTTATGTTAATTTTCAAACGTTTCATACATATAGAATGTAAGAGAGAACCCTAATTAGGTTTTCTGCAGCAAAGTTTTATAAAAAAAGAGAAAAATCAGCAAACTTTTCAGTATATTACATTCCCACTTCAAAAAAGTAAGCAGTGACAGTGGTTTTGTTATTGCCAGCAGTAGGCTCAACAAACTTCAGTAGGAGTTATTTACAAAGCTTCACGTTCATTTAAATTTACAACTTTCAATGGTACTAATCCGTGGGGGACAAAAACCACACCCAAACTCAAAGAACCCACAACCTCTCTCCTTATTTTAATTCAAACTTCTGAACCCCCGATACTAGCATCGCACTAGTTAAAGCAAAATTCTTAATATCAAACCTCACTATCTCTTATGACATGCATAAACCACCCACAAGTTACTTTCATTCTCTTCCTTAAACACAAAACATCTTAACACCACTACTGTGTTCTGATTTCCACTGCTAATGCAAGTCATACTCCTGACTTGCAGAAACAGAAGCCAGTTATCAGCAGCTCAGCAATAGATGTAAAAGAATTTTCACTCCAGATAACCCCAGTTGTTTTAAAAATACAAACCCAACAAACAAACCAAACCCCACAGGTTTCCCCCTCTCTTCCAACAGCAACATCAAAAAGATGTAACTGGGTGCTCCAGAGCCATTACTTCCCTACAGCTTTTTATAGGGTTATGTCCAGTTAGGAAGTAGCCCCTAAGCGGAGTTCTGATTGTTATGTACAAAATGTATACTAACCAATGTCACTTGACATACCTCATCTCTAATAAGATCTAGACTAACTGCTGCTGACACGTTCATATCCATATTAACACTCATAACAATTTGTCCTGTCCCTTCCCGATTCTTTACACAGCAGAGAAGTTGGGGTAAATAACATGGGCTGCTATTTCTTTGTACTAACTTCAAAGAACAATGTATAACTATTTCAAGTACATAACTGTGAAGCTTGAATGCTTTTCAGATAAAGCCATTAACTAAGTGAAAACAGGTCATCTTTCATAGTAAATATCTAGATGTGTTTCACAGAAGCACTCTCAAAACATAGAGAAGAAACAAACTAAGTGCCTCCACAAGCAAACAAAACCTCTTTGGGCTGGCATCTATAAACACAACACTCCTGACAATCTTAAACTTGATAAAGAGAACTGATGCAGAAAACTGCAGAGGGAGGTGTCCTGCTTTTTTTAAAACCCAAATAACTACTAGGCACCCTTTCTGAAAAACAGGACCAAAATGTACCTTAGTTTTAGAAAGCTTAAATTCAGACCTAATAAAGCCAGATTTCAATAACAAGTCCGGTGATGGCTGAGTGAATGAAAACTTAAAAAATAACATGCAATAATATTTTGGGCCTTCTAATGAGATGCCATCAGTTACATAATTTAGCTGGTACATATTATCCATGCTGCTTACCAGCTTACATGTTAGTGTTTTCCATACTTTATATGCTCTATGCATTCTTGGCAGCAATACAGTCCAGGAAACAGCTGAACTGTCAGTTATTCAAACTTCCAAAGGGTTTAAGATCTGCTCACTAGAACCAAAGTGCTTAGTTTTTAACAACCTTTCTGGTTAAATATTTTCAAAATAAGACCAAAAGAAAGAAAAACCTTGGTAATAATCACCTCCTAACCGATTAAAAATAAAATAATTCATATAAATTTATATATTGGTATGTATGCATACAGAAAGATAAATCTATGAAGTATATGTGTATCTATATTTCCCAGTAACTTTAAGGAAATAAAAAAGGGAAGAAAAAGAAGTGATACCAAATAAAATAAGTTATCTTCAAACAGCTACTAACTATGTCATACCAACATCTCTGATGAAGTTCTGGGGTCTGTGTCCCGTATCCACAAAGTGTTGGCAGTAATCGTTGTGTGGATTTAAGCTCTGAGTACCCTGAAGGAGAACAAGAGGGAGTTCAGCAAGAGCAACAGCTCTGGAGATAATGGGACATACACACAGACACATGTAAAGTCTGATAAATGAGATAGATTTTTTTTTTTTTTTCTTTTCAACATGCCTTTATAAGCTATGCTAGTCAAGACCGTCATTGTGTTTTTAGTTCCAAATCAGCCCCACTTGTTACTATGGCTCATTGTAAGTTGACCCAGATCTTTGGTCAGACTGATGTAAACACTTGTTACAGTCACATCTTTTACAGGAAACTTCCAGTACTTGTGAATTCCAGACAATTACTTCAGCCTTTAAAGCTGTATTTCATCAATTGCAGTAGTTTTAACAAAACTGCCAGCTTTGACTAGACTTCTAATTGCAAAAGCAGCTCACCTTAAGAAAGGTACTGGAATCTTTGTAAATCTCTTCTTCATAGGGCAGGTTCTCTTCATCTTGCTGCAGCTCTACTTCATCCTTGGAAATAAAGCAGATATTACAAGTTGGCAAGATTATGCTGTTTCTCTCCTCACTTCCTAAGGAAAGAAGTGGGTTGTCTACAAACAGAAGTCTCCTAAAGCAGCAGATCATGAATGGCTCCAACTCCAGGTTTAGAGGGGAGAAAATATAATTACCTATTCCTGAAAAGGTCTGACTCTCATTAATGAGGAAAGTGTTACTGGGAAAGGCCCTTGAAAGAATGAGAAACCCTTCAGTTCTAGACGCTGACAGTGTAGGCAGCGCTTTAGAAAGTACAAGGCTTTTAATTTTTGTCACCAAAATATTTCACTCCTTGGACTAAAGCAAATGATGTATTTTGTTGAAGTTCTTCGTAGAGAACCTTTGAATATTTATATCCACTCAATCATCTCTTACGTTCCAACCTTAGCAGCCAAAACCATCTTCTCTATATAAATCTGTTAAAGTACACACTTCGCAGAAACAGCACATGGTACAAGCCAGTATTTCATTTGGACTGTCCTTAAAAGTAACTTTAAAACTGCCATTTTGTAGTCTCAAAACGTACAGAAAACGAGTATTCCAGTTTTTACCCCTCAGTTAGTGTGTCATCAACTATTTATTCATCAGATTTCTGGAATTCAGAGATCTGTCACACTGACATACTGTGTGTGTGTGTCATCCAACACAGAACTCAGAGGTAACAGAAACAAAAAAGAGACTCACTTATTCAATGTCACTCTGTTTTCCCATTGATCCTGAAACAACCCAGTATATATATTAAATATCAATAAAACCAAAGAACCACTAAATAATATCTACCCTATTTTAGTAGGAAGCATATACTCTTTCAGACATTACTGATTCGAACAGAAATCTTAATCAGTTAATACAGCACTTCATGCGAGGAGAAAAACAGTCTCAAGGCTGAAATATTGACAAAAAGGAGACATTCAAACACAATGAAATAAAAGGAAAGATGGAAAAATCAGATTTCTCACAGAAGCAAACTCAACTTCTTCCCCCCAACACACATCTTAAGTCTAAAGATGCAGAGAAGAAGCCACAATTACTGCTGCATTTACCCTACGCTACATAAGCTGCATGAATGCAGAAAAGTGTTATCCCTATTTTGATTCCACTAACTGTTGAAATATTAAAATAAGCTCTGTGTCCTTTCCAAACTGGAGCTTTGAATAAACTTCTGAAACACCTGCTGTGATTAACAGGTCACAGATTCCCCCTCCCCATTATTCCAGTGAAGATTTTACAGAGATAGTCTATTTGTTTGTTTAATCAGACCAAAAAGAGAAACAGCAAGTGTTTACACGGAAAAGGAATGAACAGCAGACAAGCAGCAGCAAGCGAGTTGGAAGAGGGGTTTTAAGTAAAATTAAAGCTTTCATCTTCCTGTAATCTTAGCCTTCTGATGATAAGCACTTGTTAGATACCTACTTCTGAGTCATCCCAGTTCTCTTCATGCCTTCGTAAGTGATTTAAAATTTTAAAAAAGCATCTTGTGGCCACAAAGAAAAAGCCCACACCACTAACTTTCAAAGGCAAAAGGACACAGTCAATGCAGAGACAGAATGAATTTAACAATAATACAAAATAATAGGTTCTTGTACATTAATCATCTTTGTTTTCCAAATCTGGTATACTGTTGCTGAGCTAGGGAAACAAAAACTACCCACAATATTCAAGCATATAGTTTTTTCAAATGACTAGAGATACACTAAGCAATTATTATGATTCAACCAAGGAAGATTTTTTTTTTCAGCCTCCAGAACAATAGCATGGAAGCATTCCAAGGCTGTTGCTTGCAGAAATGAAGTAAAACAAGGCTGTATCAAATTAGGCTGGCAGACAGCAGATTTCAACCACAGGTATTTTTGTACTTCATACAAAGTTAAAACTCTGGAAATCTTTGCCACAAAACATTGATGATACCAGACATTTATAAAGGTAAAAGCAATTGAGTAAATTCACCCAGGGAAGAGGAGAGGTGGGGCAACAATCACAACTCCCAGAAGCTATGAAAAGCCTGGGAATGGCAGCAGATAGTCCCATTACCTGTCACTTCCAAATACTGACCAGGGAGCTCAGCTGACCCTAATATAACTGTTACAGTCCCACAAAAACACAGGAGTATTGTCGTTCCTCAGAACCACAATTCAACTTCCTGACCTTAAAATATCCATTATGAATTTTTGCCAATAATGCACCTCTTCCTGTTATCTCCCGCCTCTATGGTTCGTAGTGCAGTCAGGCTCCAAGACAGATATCAAGCTGCCAGTGGGAAGCTTAACCACCAGCTTTGCTGCCCTTTATTTTTGTATCAGCCTAATGTTTATTAAGAAGAGTCACTATAAATTTAAACTTATTCTACAAAAAAAAATCCCAAACAAAAACGCCTTTTTTTTTTTTAATCGAATGTTCCTAAATGGCAAAGATCAATATACTTCATCTTTCACCTCAAAAACTGCTCACACCTCCCCCATGTAATGAAAAAGACAATGTTACTGTTCAGCCTTCTCTCAAAACATCACGGTAAGGCATTTAGGTGTCATCAGCTCACTTCACTGTCCATTCGGAGCACCAGAAACTGACAGAAATCCTCTCAAATACCCAGCTACATTTGTTGAAAGGTTCCATGCCCACATCCATACACGCTACCCCTGCAGACCTTGCACCACCGCATTGCATTGCGGTAACAACGATGTTCTATCTTCAGAAGAACCCACCCTCACCAGCAACGACAGCTAGATGCTCGGGCTCCAGCTAGAGCTTGAGTTGAGGTCTGAGGACATGTTCATTCTCACCAAATCTGAAGTCAGGGCACAAAAATTTTAAACCACTTCAGAAGGATTGAGTGATCCCATCACGTAGAACCCAACGCTGCAAGTCAGGGTTTTAGAAAGGTATGAGTCACTTTACGTCAGAAATACTTGCCTCTAATTTTCCTAACAAAACTGACAAACTTACAAGATTTATCTGCAACACTAATAATTAAGTCTATTATTACTTTTGTTTAAGGAGTATTAAACACAATCCAATAGGGCTTGATACCATAAGGATCTAGATATTTGCACTGGTTCATATTACAAGACTAAATATAAACGGGCTCAAAGTAGTAAGGAAAAAGTTACATAAATACAGATGGGATTTTACTAAGTTCTTATCTTCCTGCCAATAGGGAATTAGCAATGTCTGCAGAAAACAGCTGATGACTCTAGATGTTCTACTTGGGGGTTTCATGTTTCGTAAATCTATTCATTTGCTCAACTGAAGTTGGTCCAAGCTAGTAGCATTAAAATATTCTTCAATTTCAACAATACAGCAAGAGTCTGGCCACTTGCAAATGGTTACAGCCCACCTTAGGGTAAGTCTTCTCCATGATAACGATAAGATTCATACACTGACAACTGAAGTGATGTATCCACATATATTTCACAGAAAAAAAAAAATAGTTGTTTAACCACATACTTGGAGAAGGAATAAAATGATACAAACTGATCACTAATGTGAGCATAAAAGCCCCACTGCACAAATAGTGTGTGTACTCTGTAAATCCCTTCTTTGAGATGCTGACTTGTTTGTTAAACAAGATGTACAGACAAACACTTTGCATGCTAAAATGAGTGTCTGTCCATTTACTGGTAGGCTTTTAAAAAAAATCAGTAATCAGTGTCCCATAATACATTAACTTTTTGTTTTAGTAAGACAGGAGATAGACATTATTACAGAAAGATTTATAAGCCTGAACACAAATGTAACACTATCAAGGCCTCGTATTTCAAAAATTACTATTCTTAGGCATCCAAGAGAACAGCAGATACTGCATTATTTCATAAATGCACTGACCTTGATTCTACTTAACTAGAGAAGCAAGGTTATTAGGACAAGATAAAAACAGAGAGGGAGTATATGCTGCTGCAAGATCAGAAAGCAAATCAGAAAGACAGCTGTATCATAATTGTGCCTTTGTTTAACCTCCTTCCTCTACCACTCATCTTGGCCAACATTAGATACGAAACAAGAAATCTATCAAATAGCTCTTGGATGAGCATTTGAAAAAAGTGAAGGGCATGAGAGTTTGACAACCACTCATTCTTCAGTGACCACAGAGGTGTTTTGTTTTGGTTTTTTACAGTCAACTTTTCCTGGATACTTTGGATGCTTAAAGCATATCTCAAAACAAGCCTCTTTCTTCCATCCCCTCAGATTCTCTTATTTCTTCCACTCACCCTGAACTGCATCCCTCTGCACTTAAGGGGCAGGTTAGAAGACACCCTCAGCCTCCTTGTGTCTCATCCAATGGCCTGTGCCTCTTGCTAAATGCAAGCTTTTCTCCCAACACAAAGAAATTCCAGTCAAGATTTTTTTTCTTGTGTGCCCAAGCATGTACACATTTTACCACTTTTTCCCACACAAGTCAGCCAGCCAAGGGACACTGCCATTCTGTGTGGACACTATCACCTAAGCCTACCTCCCCCTAGAAGCAGCACTAAATTAAGCCTCCACACACTGGGCTCTGGTGTGTGTACAATTGAGTGCACCTAAACCAGGTCTGAAGAGAACCACTTAGCATCTACACCCCCTCTTAGCAGTGGAAGCATCAGTTAGCAGCAGTGGAAGACATGAAGGGAAATGCCACTGAGGGACATAAATTTTAAAGTATCTACACATATATTTATTTTTATTTATACGCACAAACACACATTTTGTAAGTCCCTCAAAGATACATGAACACTTGGGGTTTTTTTACCTTATATTCTTCAATCTCTTCCTCATCAGCCTCTCCCTCATCTGGGTATTTGCGTTTTGCATTTGGTGCAGAAGTATCATAAGCAGCCCTATAAACATCCAAAAAAACCCCTCATATAAAACAGGTTCTCTCTCCAGACAGAACATTTCATGAATCTCTGATAATCTGCCTTTACGACATGTTTCTGTTACAAATTAGAAATTATTCTGAGCCTTCACATACAAGAAGTTGTTCCTCTCTCAGTATATTTGCCTAACTTCTTAAGAACAGAACTCCTGAAAACAGGAGTTTTCCTCATTTTTCTGTTGTAAAAGGTATAGCTTGTTTTAAAAAAAGCAGTTCATGTACAAAATTAAGCCTGCTTACACACGGAAATGACTGTTATATGTGAGAATCAATAAACACTACCTACTTTGTCCTAGATGTGTCTGTTGCTCCGTAAGAACTTTAAATTGTCCTGTGACTGCTCTCAGCAAAACTATAAAGGCTCTAGGACAGTGCAGACGGCATACTCTACATTCACACCTCAGTTTTGCTCCACAGTAGCTTTTTAACATAAAGAGCAAAAGTTAACCTTGGTTTCCAAACTGCTGTTAGAAGTGAATGACTAAACCCTACTCACCATATTCAAAGTTTACATTTGAGTAGTTAAACCATTTTTCTTTCACTGAATTGTATGTTTTTAAATAAACGGTAAGATTTTATTTTGTTCTTTGTAGCGCGATCTCATCCCATTTTAACCGTTTGTTATTATTGTTAAAACCGCCTCATTCCTAACAGAAGTTTCACGCCGATACCGACCTACACGTTTCTCTCGTTTCAGCGATCTCCCGCTGGTCATCTTTACTGTTCAGCACGGCTCCGATACTGTCGGCGTTTTCAGCTCCTAACTGAACAACGGGCAAAACAAATGCAAGCCACGGTTACGGCTGATTAAAACCCACCTAAACGGTTAACAATCGGGGAGCCAAAGGGCCACTCTTTAAGCTGGGCGCGCCCTCCTACCAGCCGGGCCCGCCACAGACC